CAGCCAGCTATGCTGGCTGGAGAATTCTGGGAGTTGAAGTCCACAAGTCTTAAAGTTGCCAAGTTTGGGGACCCCTGTATTAAAATCTTTTGGAGGAGGAAAAAGCAGCCCCTCCCCTTAATACCAGAGGCACTTTGCACATGCTCAGAGGAACCAGCGGCATTACCCGGCCAAGACAGACTCGGCTGGTTCAACCTCAAGAAGAAAAGGGCTCAGAGGCATCCCCACCCTAACCCCTCCAGAAGCCCCCTTCTCGGCATCCTCACCTGCGAGACCGGGGGAGGGATGTGGAATTCATCCTGGCCCGCCACGGAGGACGGACCTTTCTCGTCCTCCTCGCTCTCCTTCCTTTCCAAAGCTCCCTTCGCGCGTTTGGTCTTCGGCCCGGCGGCTGCGGTTGCCTTGCCGGCTCCACGCCGCCTCTTGGTCGCCGCCATTTGCCTTCTCCCAGACTGCCTCCCTTTCGACCGCTCTAGGATCCTCGGGAGCGGCTGAAAGAGCGATAGAGTTTCCTCGCGGGCGCGCTAGGAATGCTGGGAAAGCCCGTCTGGTTTCCTGTGCCGTAAAGAACTTGGTAGAAGGTACCGTGTGTTTTATTGATTACGTAATAAACTTACCGTTACAACGGGCTTAACCCGTATTACCTTTTTTTTAAAAGAATAGTTTCTTTTATTAAACTTTAAAACTGTCACGATATTTCTTTTTTAAAAAGAATGGTTTCTGGTGCTGTATAGAGCAATTATATAACTATGAATATATAACTCTGCATTATGTGAAAACTATGATTTTTAAAAACCGAATTGGTTTTTAAGAAAGAAAAGAGTTACACAGTGAAGGGGGAAAAACTGTACTGAACAATCTAGAAATCATACTATGTCAACATAGTATGATAGACTTGTGGGGCCCTCGCGTTGTGCAATAAGTTCACATGGTGCAATAAGATAGTGTGTTTGTTAGGATTCACTGGGTTAGGGATTTTTTCTTTTTTGTGTTCACTGTGAGTTGTGTTGGGCGGGGGGGATGCACGAAGGGAGACTCAGCCAATCTCACTGTACACATGTTGTACTCTGACAAAAAGGTTGATTTTGATTTTTTTTTAATTTTTGAAATCAGATTAAAATGAAGGAAAAGAAGGAGGTGTCCCTTGTGCATGCATTCTGCAGGATTAAGGAGCAAAAAACAAACTACTGTAACTGCAGTACAGGTTTTTGGACTGGCAACTCTTCTAGCCTCCCGTAATTGTTGAACATAAAAATGCAGGCAACTGAGCTCGCCTGGGGCTGGAAAAAACCCTTGTCCCTGAATTTGAGAGAGAAACACCTCATATCTTAGCAAAGTGTCTCGTCCCCACTTCAGGCAAAGTGAATAGGATAGGGTGGGATGGGATAGGTTTTTATTTATTTGCCAAGTGTGATTGGACACACAAGGAATTTGTCTTTGGTGCATATGCTCGCAGTGTACATAAAAAATATATATTCATCAAGAATCATAAGATACAACACTTAATGATAGTCATAGGATACTAAATAAGCAATCAAAATCATACAAGGAAATTAAAGGCATTTATTCAGGGGGAGCCAAGTCTATAAGGAGTCTTAGAATACAGTATAATTGCTGCATAAAAAGAATCTCAGGATAATATAGTAGTTGCTTAAAAAGAATTGTTTGGATTTTTACAGGTTCATTCGTTCAGAATTTGCAGATTCTTTCTTTGGCTCTCCAAGGAGGGCTTTAAGAGAGCCCTGAAGCCATGCCCTTCTCAACCCAGCCTGAAACAGGCCAAGAGCAGAATGTTCTGGTAGCAACTCTTGATAACGTCAGAAACCTCTCCAATATTTTGAAAGCCATTCATTTCAAAGACCATGCTACTTGTTTCGCTACATCAAATGGACTCAAAGTCACGGTGGAAAATGCAAAGTCTTTGCAAGCCAATGCTTTTATTCAGGTTAGACCACAGGATTTCTTTTCTATGGACTTTCAAGGAATTTTAGTTCGGCTAAAAAAAATTAGGCCAATGTGTGTGACAGCCAATATAAGACTTCCGAAAGAAATGGCGTATTCTAATAAATGAAAACAATCCTGCTGTACTTTCTCAGCATATCTTATTTCCAGCAGTGGGAACTCTTTAAGCTACTTTGAGGTGGTTGAGTCATGGAATCTGGTGTAATGTTATCCCAGTACTATTTCTTGATATACATTTAATAATAAATACTATAATTTAAAATAGATTTTGTATTTATGGAAGAGAAGATATTTTGAAAATAAAGAAATGGTTGTTCCAGCCCTGCTGTGCATAGCAGGGTTTCTAGTAGACTTTATTTAATCATCCCAGCCTTGCCCTTGTGTGTATTATTGCAAATTATCAGTTCCATATGCTGTTTTATAAAACACTTTTCTGCTTGATCTATCTCTTGTTAAGCACCATCGGATTGCAGTTTGAAAATAAGAGTGCCATTTTTATATTACTTCGCCTGATAGTTTCTGGAATTGTTAATTTACAGGCCGGAATTTTCCAAGAATTTGTAGTGCGAGAAGAATCTGTGATGTTCAGAATCAATCTGTCTGTACTTTTGGACTGTTTGACCATCTTTGGAACAAATTCTTTGCCAGGTATTGTGTGAGTTTATGTTGTACTGAATGATGCCAACTTATTTCTTACGACTATGTGAACATTATCCTGAACTGTGAATTGAATTTAAAAATGTCTCATATTTGCCCATATCAATATGCCTAATATCTTCTTCCATAGTTCTACTGATGGCTTGATCAGAAAGGAGCGTGGCCATTTTGCAGTGTAGCTCATGCACTTTTATCGCCTTAGGCATGAAACCAACAAGGCAACTTTGGGCCAATTACACTCTCTCAGCTCTAAGAAGCGGGCAGTGGCAAGCCATTTCTGAAAAAAACTTGCCAAGAAAATTGTGGAGATCTAGTCCAAGAAGACTGTGACCATTATGTGGGGCTTCACAGTTGAAGGCAGAAAGGTGCTTCAGAGGACTTATGGTCCACATTTGTACAGCTATTGGCAAGCCCTGAATTGCATATTTTTCCAGGCTCATGCTGCAGTTGTGAAGAGCAGCCACACAATCCTGGCAACAGATGCAAGTGCTTTCTAGAGTTTTGTTAGAAGCTACATGGGTACCCCTTTCCATTCAAAACCTCTTTTTTTGCTTTAAATCTAAACACTGCCCAGCTCTACTGAATAGGCATAGTTAAATTGCAATATTATAATAGGTTTTTTTTTTTCCGTTTCAGGAACTCAGACAGCCCTTCGGATGTGTTATCAGGGATATGGCTACCCTCTAACCCTCTACCTGGAGGAAGGAGGGGTGGTGACTGCATGTAAAATCAACACTCAGGAACCTGAAGAAATTCTCGATTTTGACTTCTGCAGTACTAATGTTGTAAATAAAATTATCCTGCAGTCAGAGGGACTCCGAGAGGCGTTTTCCGAACTAGATATGACCAGTGAAGTGCTGCAGATTACAATGTCTCCAGACAAACCTTATTTCAGGTAGTAGAAATAATTGTCCTAGTCTGATCATCATGGCTCAAAATCAGGTAACTCTGATCCTGAGCACAGTGCAGACATGTGGCATAAAATGAGTAAATGGAAAGTAACGCTAAATGTATTTTTGCATATTTAAAATTCAATCTTGATTATGCTCTAGCACAGCAGCCCTTCCCTTATCTAAACGTAAGTCCTATTGAATTCCAGGGCTTCCTCCCCACCCCAATTATGTATGTGGAAAATTGTAGCTGCAAAAAAGACCTCTAATTAGCCAGTAGTAAAGCTATAGCTTGAGATTTTGGAGAGCTGCCAAAAGTCAGAGTAGCTCAGCCATGAGTAACCTTTCTGCAGCTGGTCTTGCAGATGTTTATGCTTTCAAGGCCTTCAGAGGATGTAGTGCTGAGGTTCATGACATGAGCAGAGGCACCAGGGAGGAACCTGTTTTCCATTTTGGAATGTGACTGAGAGGAACCAGAAATTTAACATTCTTCCTTTAGTGATAAAGGGAAAGCACTACAAACATGTTATAATGGCAGAAGAACTAGTGGGAAACAGGAATTACTAAGGTTGATTAAATTGTATGCCGGCATGGTTCAGGAGCAAGAATCCTTGAACATTTGAAAACTCTTCTTGCTACTTAAAAGGGAAAAATTAGCTTTTATACCGTTTGCTAATTTTTTAATGGACATAATGCATGTCACATGACTCTGTAAGACTTAAGTTCATTTTGCTCCTTAAATCCTGCTAATCCCAAAATGAAAATGAGGTCAGCAGTAGTCAGCCATTGTCTTCCTTTCTCTTAGACAAAAATATTTAATATTTTCAAGACTTCGATGCCAGGCATAATTCTTCAGTAATTTAGAGTGTTAATGACACATTCTAAATTAGGTTTGCTCAATTTTGTCATATACTGTGTTTACATATGCGACATTGCTATTTTTGTTATTCAGTCTGGTACATCTTTTCTTCTTAAGATTATCTACTTTTGGGAATGCTGGAAGCACTCACCTGGATTACCCCAAAGATTCTGATCTTATTGAAGCCTTTCATTGTAATGAAACACAAACAAACAGGTGAGCTACACCAATGCATTTACCTTCAAAGCATCACGGTGACCACTTGTATCATACAACTCTTACTATTTATCCTAGACTACATATCCCCGGCCAGAAAGGTGATCAATATTGTTTAATTGGAATTTTTGTTGCAGGATTGGCAATGTTTTGAATGCCATACATGTCATCCTGCACAGTCAAAAAAAAAATTTTTAAAGCCCAAATCAGAAATGATATTGAGAAATCTAGCAAGGATGTCCAATACTGTGAGATTTTGGATATTTTTGAAAAGAGAAATGGAATATATGCACCTCAGGATTGATCTGTGGCGTCCTTGGTGCTTTCTGTGGGGTTTGCTGTTTATATATTCCCTGTACAGTAGCTTTGGTTGGGAGTGTGGTTTTCTGTGGGAGTTTGATTACATTCCTCATACTGGCTGGGGAATTCTGGGAGTTGAAGTCCACAATCTTTGAGTTGCTGAGTTTGAGAAACACTGTTTTACAGGGAAGCAAAACCAGATAGGTGTGTCCTTCCAGGGTAAAGTTGTGTGAATGCGCTAATCATATCGAGCTCATTTTAAATGCTGAGCAAATTGGACTGAAAGCAAAGCATGAGAAGAAAGGATGGCATTCCACTTTTCCCACCTAGTAATGCTGTTTGTGTAGGATTGCGGGTTTTTGAACTCAGACAGTGGCAGCCACTTATACCTATGTTATACTTGACGTTATGTTTTTCATTTTTTTACAGATACAAGATATCATTACTCAAGCCATCAATTAAAGCACTAGCTCTGTCTTGCAAAGTATCCATTCGGACAGACAACCGAGGTTTTCTTTCGTTGCAATATATGATAAGGAACGAAGATGGAGAGATCTGCTTTGTGGAATATTACTGTTGTCCCGATGAGGACGTGGCAGAAGCAGAACTGTAGCTATCATGAAAATGTCACTGAATTAATGCCCGAGGAAACTGTTTAGTTCAAGGCAATCTGGGAAAGAAACAGGACAAGAGAACAGAACAATTGAAAGGCCAGAGATCAGAACATTCCTGAGCCATTTAGTGAACCACACCTGATTTCCTTAAAACTAGGGTGATGGAAAAATTCAGATGGAGACAATACGCTTTGAAGAAGCTGCTGCGAATTCCTCTGGAGGAATGTGTGTAATACGCCAGCTCAGGTTCTAGAATGAGAATACACAATATTTTTTTCCCCCCGGCAAAGGTTTTGCTTGGCGTCCAAAAGGAGGGCAGGGTAAAGCCAAAAGTATTTTTATTTCAGTTATCTGAAAGTAAAAATTACAAGGAACATCCGTGGCAGTGAGGCTTACGTACCCAATGTACAAGCTAGAAATTGAGCCTCTGAAACAGAGCTGAAAGAGATACTGGTTGTATGTCAAAATGAGTCACTCACTGAATTTCTGGTGGAAGATTTAGCAAAACTGGGTTGTATCACATACTTTATCTTTGAATCTAGAAAGTAACCCAAATTCTGAATGGATATATTTCTCTTTTTATATACTGCATAATATGTTTTCAGAAATAACTTTAAATGTAGTTTTTATTTTTTTCGTCAAGGTAACAGGCAATCCCTTTCCATTTCTCCTATTTTGAACTCGGGGGGGTGGGAGGGACTTCCCCTCTTTCAGGCTTCCTGTCTTTCCAAGCAAACGGAAGAAAAATTAGCACCACCATTTTAGAAGCTAGGACACTCAACATTTTATAAAAAAAATAGACCATCATTATGCTTGGAAAATTATTCAATGGGATATGGAGGAGGGAGTGGTGGTTGGATGAAAAATGAAGGAGGCAACACAATGTATATGATGTGTCCCTCCTCTAGCCCTACTTCTGTCTTTTCTCATAGTGGCTTAATTAGTTTAGTTAGTTTACTTTATTGTCATTGCACCTTGTACAATGAAATCAAACACCATCTTCAGTGCACATCATGACCATGAAAATAAACACAAACGCACATCCTTCACACTCCAGGCACTGAATTGAAAACCCCTGACACTGCACCAAAACTGCACTATACAGTAGAATTCAACAGAGCTACTGCCCTGGGATAGAAGCTGTTTTCAGCTTATTTGTCCTTGTTTTTATTATCCTGTACTGTCTGCCAGATGGTAATAGTTCAAAAAAAGGGTTCCCAGGATGAGATGGATCTTTGAGAATGTTTTGAACTTTCTTAGGGCAACGGGAGCTATAAAGCTCTTCGAAAGAGGGGAGAGGGCAACCAATGATCTTCTGGGCAATGACGTTAACCCTCTGGAGTGCTGTCCTGTCTGCCACTGTGCAATTGGCAAACCATACACAGGTGCAGTAAGTTAAGATACTTTCTATGGTGAAGCGGTAGAAGGTCACCAGCAGTTTTTCATTCAGTTGTTGTTTTCTGGGAAGTCTCAGGTAGTATAATCTCTGTTGGTTAATTAGAATTAGAATGACCAGAAATGTATTGGGAAGAGAAAATACATTTTTTCCCCACAGCAGAAAAAGTAACATGGAAACCTACCATATTAACTAATTTAAAGAGACGATTCTAAAATTCAGTTAGGTGCTAAGTGTCATTACATTACACTGTGGGCAAAACAAACAGCCCTTAACTGTTAGTCATCCTTCCCTCTGCTTACCAACCACCTCTGGAAATCAGTACCACCATTGAAAGTCCAAGCTCAGTTGACAGGACTTTAAGTGGACAGAGAAGCTACTTTGGCCAAAGAAATGACCAGATGGGGAATCTACCTTACCTTGGCATGCATATGAAGTAAAAAAAAAATGGCGAGTTGAAGTCCACCTATCTTCAAATGAACAAGGTTGAGAAACACTCTCTTATAGGGAAGCCACAAATCAAGATACACGTGTCCTTTCGTAGTAAAATTGTGTGAGTGTGCTGACCATACTGGGGTCATTTTAAATGCTGGGTCATATCCTAAGGCTGAGCTTCTGCAGTAAACTAAATCCAAACTAAACGGCCTGCATTATGGTGTAGCACAACGGATAAACCAAGTCATGAAGGAAGAGTTAAAATCAGGAGTCTGTCGCCCCTTCTACCCTCTTTGTAAAGGTAAATTTTAACCACATTTTGTAGCTAGCTGGGTTATGCTCTAGTATCAAACACTACTGCTGGTACAGGAATAGAAAATACTACTTTTTAGTACTTTCTAAAAAAAGGAATGGAAATTAATTTTAAAAGTGTGTTGCAGAAATGTAATCAAGAATTTATAGGTCAATTTCTCTTGTATATTAGGCATATCTTTTCCGGTCTTCTTTTCCAGTCCTGTGTTGCCTAAAGATCTGGGATGGAGCAAATTAGCATTGGCTTTTTATCCTGTTTTAGACACTTGGTCAATTTCTGTTCCCCTGCAATCCAGCAGGAAAAAAATAGCAAAGAAAATGTTAGGGGCACATATCAATAAATGAATCAGTTACTCTGATCCAGTGATGGCAAACCCTTTCGGCACCAAAATGCAATGCGCATCCCTGTGCATGCGCCCCATCCCCCATGCATACGCCCCATGCATGCTTGTGCATCGCCCGTGCATATGCCCTGCACATGCGCACGCATGCACGCATATGTGCGTGCATCCCTGTGCACGCCCCCCACATGTGTCCCGCCCCCGTGCATGTGTGGCAGAGACCCAAAGATCAGTTGGCTGGCAGGAAGTGTATGTGTGCATGCACAGCTGAGCTGGGGCAATGGTTCACATGCCCACAGAGAGAGCTCTGCATGCCACTTCTGATATCAGTGCCATAAGTTCGCCATCATGGAATTACACCAGGGGTGGGATTCTACCAGTTCGCACCTATTCTCTAGAACTGGTTGTTAACATTCTAAGCAGTTTGGAGAACCGGTTGTTAGAAGAAGTTACTGGCCTAATCCTGTAAGGAAGGCAGGAAGGAAACATTCTGGTGTTGCTTAAAGAAACTGCCTCTCTGTTAACTCTTATTACATTCTTGGCAGGACTAGACTTCCTGTCTCAGGAACTTCTCTGGAGTTTTTCCCCCCTCCTTTGCTGGTACTTTGCTTGTGTGGAGTGACCATTCAAAGTTACAATGACACTGAAAAAAGTGACTTATGACCATTTTTCACACTTACGACTTGCAGCATCCCCACAGTCATGAGAGGCCATGCAAGGAGATGCATGCCTCGATATGAGTGATATTGAGTTGGCCACGCCCAGCCAATAACATGACCACCAAGCCATGTCCACCCAGTCAAATGACCACCAAGCCACGCCCACCACCTAAGCCATGCCCACAGAACAGGTTGTTAAAAAATTGAATCCCACCCCTGGATTACACGGTTCTATTCCATTCACTCTTTAAAAAGTGGAATTTAGCTAACAAAATCTATGGAGATTCTCTGTCATCCAGGTCCCAAAGGTGCTTTTTCAAGAGGCAACTGGACTTTCTGGTTTTTCTTGGAAGACTGATGCTCTCTAGGTTGGACTCCCATTTGTTTTCAACAAAGTTTTTCGAAAAGGGACATAAGCTAGCATGAATTCAGTCACTATATTTTCTGTATGATTGTTTAGGAGCTTTAGGGCCCCTGTTCCAAAGCAGGAAATGATACAAGTTTTGGTACTACGGTAATTTTGGTAATACTGGACTAACTCTTTAGAAGATCAATCCACATTATAAATGGAAGTTAAAAGTGGTGCCCTGAAGAAACCCTGCTTTTTCTTACAAAAAACGCATCTGGCTACAAAGAGGTGACATTTGATAATGGTAGTTAACAAATAGTGCAAGTGCAATGCACGTGTGTGTATCTCTTATGCACACAAACTCATGCAAATTGACTGAAAATTCTGTGCACCATCTTAGAATGGTAATGTTAAGATTTTTGCTTGGTAAGGGGCCTCATGAATTGTCTCCCAGCCACCCAGCCTTGCTGCTACGAAACCTGGATATCTATTGTGCATATCCTCCAATCCTAGTTCTTTAAAAATATTAAAACTTACCTATTCATCATATCTAGTAGCTCTTGTATCTCTTTAGTTTCCTTGTGGTGGGACCCATAAATAGCAGTCTGAATCTGCACACACATTCTGTATGGGTTCAAAATGCAAGAGACGATTAATTCCTTGTGGTTATTTTATGTATACCAATGTTTTTTTAAAACCACTTTGAAATATAAAACTAATCTTAAAACCAAAGCTGTGCTTTAGAGCTACTAACTATAAAATTAGCCTTGCTTTCTTGTTCATGAAGCAACCAGAATGAAGTTTTTGTACTGAACTTGAGGGCACTTGCAATAATAAATTTAAATGCAAACATTAGGAACAACTTTGTGACACAAGGTTAGATCTTAATAAAAATTAAATTCCTAAATATGAATTCCAAATGATATTCCTGCAACTATCAGATATTTAAAATTCAAAACATTTTACAAGCCATCCACATGGTCTTTTTATTCAAGCTGATAGTATAACTTGTTAGTAATTATCTTACTGAGCAGCTGATAGGCCTCACTTATTTTCTCCTCCGCTAGACAAATGCAGCCCATAATATATAATCGTTCAGCTGCCTGCTTATTAAAATAATTGCAGGGATTTTGTTGAGTTTTAAAGGACTCTTTGAGTAATTCATAGGCTTGCTAAAAGAAATAATTAAAAAATTAAAATATTTTTATGACTTCTGTCCTCCAAACAAATACTTTGTTTATTTATGCTCATTCCTTTTGGGTTGACTGTATCTTTAACTTTTTTCTTTATCCAATCATTCATCCACATATGTCTTTTTGAAATATAGCCAGTCTTTTCTCTTTAGTGAACAACTGATTATGCAGCAATTTAAAGCTGCATCCCTGTTGCTTTGATCCTGCTAAATGTTAGACTTTCATAGGTTATGGCTTCTTATGTTAACATTTTGAATTTTATGGCTCATTGATTATGTTTCTTGAAATCATGATCACCTCAGTTCTTCATACTCTACAGAGCTGAATTCTCCCAATCCAAAGGAATTTTTTTTAATCCATAATGCTTGAGAAAAGAGTAAGTTCCCCGCAAGGGAATATCTCTTCCCAATCCAGCTGCGATATTCCTCCTTGGTACAGGGCCCCCCATCCAGTGGTAGGATACAAATAATTTAATAATCGGTTTGGCCAGGTTTAAGTTGGCTGTCGTGGGAGGCGTGGCCCATTGCCATCCTCCAGCTCAGCCGCACATGCGGGACAAGCCTCCTGCGATGGCCAACTTGTCTCTGGGCGAACCAGTTGTTAAATTACCCTCCAGCCCTGGCTATTAAAGCGGATCCTGGGTGCTGCACTGCAATGGAAAAATGGGAAATGGAGCAGCTGGCATGAGGGAAGGAGGAGGAGCAGGGAGAAGAAAGAGGGAAAGTGGCCTTCTCCTTACCTTACGCCAACGATTCCGTTGCCCCTTTGTCCATTTTAGCGGAGCACCCAGGATCCACTTTGAGAGCGGGGAGCAATTTAACAACCATTTCGCTTGAACCGGTGGAAGCCGGCCGAATCTCACTCCTGTCCTCATCCCATTTATAGCTACATTTTTTTGGGGGGGGAAACATCCATCCAAGCTGATTATTATTGTTGGCTGTGAGGCCCTCTGTCCTTCCCTGCAGCTTTTGCATAGACAAAAGGTAACAACTGTATGCCAGCAGATGTGTGGTTACCTTTCTTTTTCCAGCAAGTCCACTTGCTGAAGACTTTAAGGGCACTGATTGTCTGAGGATGGTCCATTCCTAATGCTTCCTTGTAGGCTACCAAGCTCTCGTTGAAATACCTTTCAGCAGCCTCTAGAAAAACAAGTGCGGTGTATTTTGCATGAAATATATCTTGAAAAACAAATCAGTATAAGGAAGTTGTATGGATGAGTTCATTTCACTTTCCTTCTTTTATTTGATGTCACTTTGTTGTACCAAAAGAAGTACAAATTTTTTCAAATCATTCAGCTAAATATAGCTGCCTGTCTCACTTTTACGTGACTAGTTTACAATAAAATACACAAGACAAAAAAAATTTAAACACATAGCAGCCACATCTCCTTCTGTTGAAATGAGATAATCAACCGCCTTCTCAAAATACTTGGATGCCAAATCTAATTTGTTTTTCTGAAAACTTGCCCTAGAGACAAAAAATAAAAATAAAAACAGCAGCTGGATTGTGGTGCAGTTCTGTGGTGGGATTCAATTTTTTTTTACGACCGGTTCTGTGGGTGTGGCTTGATGGGTGTGGCTTGGTGGGCGTGGCAGGGGAAGGATACTGCAAAATCCCATTCCCTCCCCACCCCACTAACCTGCTTTCCAGCTCCGTTCTCCTATGTAGGGCAACCAAAGAAGACCCAGCCGATCAGCTGGGATTCGGGAGGCAGAGAATAGATGGGGGATTCTGGAGGCAGAGAATAGATGGGGGTGGGGCCAGTCAGAGGTGGTTTTGGCCAGTTCTCCGAACCGCTCAAAATTTCCGCTACTGGTTCTCCAGAACTGGTCAGAACCTGCTGAATACCACCTCTGGTATCCAATCTTATTACCGGTATTCTTTCGCGCCTCGGGGTGCATGATATAGAGCCAGCTTATATAAGGGTGAGAACTTGGCTTCTTTTTTCACATCTGTATCTAGGCCTCGGAGTGGAAGCAAACAATGTGCTTAATCAAATATTTTGATCTGTGCATTCTTGCCAAATTTCTAAAGTCCAAGCAAACAGTTTGCCACACAGAGTGGAAGCTATGGCAATGATCAGAGTGCTAGCAAGCCTTCTGATACTACAGCTTTCTTACAGTAAGAGCCTGGACAATGGAACAAAAGGTAAACAGGACTTTAGGTATCTTTTCAATTTAAACCTCGAGTTACATGAGTAAAATTTCATGTAATAAATTAAGTCTAGATGAACAAGCAGGTTACAGGTAGAGAGTGGGGGAAGAAGGCCTGGTTGGTTCAAATGGAGAAGACCATTGCTGTATGTGTAATGATAATATGAATGGATACATTTGATTCATATCAGCAAAACTAGCCAATTAAAAATATATAATCACAAGTATAGTAGGCATGGCTTGGTGTGCTTTCGTGTTTCCATTTATTTGGCAACTAATTCAATAGAGGAAGATAACATATTAATGTAAAATTCATTGAGAAAAAGGTTGGGGAAGGATTTTTAGTCTTAGGATAGTCTTTTAAAAATTGGGTATGAAATGGCCATTGATTATTGTTCCAACTGGTAAAACAAATCTGTTGGATTTAAGTTAACTCCCATTCTGTTAGATTTGCTGCATTATAGAACGTGCAACATCTGGGTCATTGCTTCTGAAAGAAATATCAAAACTTGCCTGTAGGGATTTTACTGCCATCAGTGTTGGCTCAAACAGTTTTTAGTGAACTAAATCCAAATGGTATCAGCTTCCCATCCAAATTCATAGATTATATTCCATTTTTCATCAATCATTTCCCCACTTTCTCTGCTACTATCTCCTATTCTGCCCCCCATTAAGCCACCTATTTTTTTTTTTTGCTTAGCAATCCAGTAGTGCAAGATCAGACTCTGGACCAATTTCTTCTAAAAGCCCATCCTTTTTAGAAGCTAATCTGAACTAGTCTTCTTCCTTCAACTGATTAGCATAATCTGACTGGCAGTGATACCGCGAGCAGCAAAGAAACAGAGCAAAATATGCCATAACTTTTTTTTTTTTTGAAAATTTTATTTGGGTTTTCCCAAAAACAAAATACAAATAAAACATCTTTTTTGAAAATAGCATGGTCCCAGGTTATCACTTCTTCATACCGACACAAAACTCAATTTCATGCTCATTTTTATATTCTATTCCATATCTTATTACCATTTTATATTTTCTACATAGTTTTTCCCCTCTTCTAATTTTCTCAACTTTGTTTTAATTATCTCAATTCAAACCATTATATTTATACTTTTGTCTGTCCTGTTACCATTTCACACTATCTTTTCTTATTAAGCAAATTTTTCCCTGTAGTTACCAATTAGAGTATGACACTTTTATATCCTTTAATTTTATCCATTCAAGCTCTTATTTAAGCTTCAATGTATAGCTTTAAGATTATAGCATTCAATATAATACATAACTTCCAATCGAATTCTGCTTGGTACATTCTTAAAATAGACACTATATTCTTAAAAAAAAAAAATTATATATATATGTAAATAAAACACATTCCATTCCAATTCAATTTTATCATTAATATGCATTAAAATCTTAACATCTTTAACATTTCTTTTCAATTGAATATCATACTTCCTTGGGAACACTTATAAACTTTCCATAGTTAATTCTTTTTTCCCCCATATTTCTCACTTATATTTTTATAAATCATTACTAATAATTAAAAATGTTCCCTTTTAATTCTCTCAATCATTTTAATTCATTTATTTATTAACAAACATCCCACTACATTACAATAAATATTTTACCCATCATCATATTTTCTAAAGTTATTTCTATTTGTAATATAACAAAGCTATCTTATGTACCTTTGCAGAATCCCTTCTACAATTAAATTTTCACCCATTATCTCTAAACAAACTTATGGTTACAATCCTTATATCTTTTCCCTGTTTCTCCATTTCTTGTTTCTGTCTTTTACAACTTCTGCTCCTTGCCTTCTTCCCCCTCTTCTTCTCCCTCCCCTTTTTACCCCCTAGTCTCTCTACTTCTAACTCTCTCATCTGTAATCCCCTCTTCTGTTGCTTTCTAATATTATACTTATCTTTCAAATTGTTCTTCTTTTTGGTTGTTTTTTCTAATCTTAAACCTTTCACCCTCTTTCCCCCCTTTTCTCCCCCCCCCTTAAAATTATTTGATCATTAAAGATGGCTTCTTCTTTGTCCCAATCTTCTTGTTCTGCAAGCGTTTCTTGTTGCTTCTCATAGTTCCAGATCTCCATTTCTAAGAATTGAGACACGAAGCCAAAAGAACTTCTCCCTTCTTGTGTGTCTTCTTTCCATTTTTTAAGTTCCGTTTTCTGTTCTTCTAAGAGTGATACCATTTTAAAAACTTTTAAACAACCACCCAGTTAATTTTAGTCATCTAGATGCAAAAATCAAAAATCATCAAGTAATCCAAATAATCCAAGGCTGTTTCTACTTGCTTCTATTTTCCACTTTCTCTTCCTGGGGTTCTATTATTTTGTTACCAAGTTTCCATTAAAATGTATCTTTGAGGAATCTTGTTAAAATTTCACTGTAAGTTCCTTTTAATTACAGTTCCATTCCTTAATTCCAGGCAGTCTCCTCCATTTTTCCAGATCCTGCCCTTCTATTCTTTTTGTTCTCCTTTCCAGCTTTTAAAAACTTTTAAATGTCCAGAAATCTTTATTTATCCCTTTGACTTTTATTTTCAGCTTAGATGCCTATTAATGTCAAAGTGGATTTTCCCCCCAGTTTCTTGCTTAAGTCTCTTAGCTGTCAGTATAAGGAAGGGAAGAAAAAAAAACTAATCCTTTCCCTTCTCTCTCTCCTTCGCAGCTTCAAAATCTTCTTTGGGAACAATGTTGTTAAGTTTAAATTCCAGGGTACCTTATTTGTTGCTTTTGCTGTTTGACCCGGTCAACCAAAACTTTCTCTTCTTATCTTCCTCCTGCACATTCTTTTCCGGTCGAGTTCTTCTTTGTGGTGGCCATTTCTGACCACCGCTACAACCGCCTTCGGGAAACGGAGTAATGGCCAGCTGGGGAGGAGAGATGTGGCTCTCCTCAACCCTGCAGGCAGTCTCCCCCCTCTTCACCACCTCTACGGGGTGGTTTAGCCCCGAAACCAGCCGGCTCGGGGTGCTCCAGCGGCGAGCACGGATCGAAGCCTTGGAGAGAAGAGGTTTCGGTCTGTCGCCGAAGAAGCTCAAACCGGAAGTCACAAAATATGCCATAACTTTTGATAAGACCAGATGCCTTAGATCTCAGCCATCAGAATCATGAGATTTAACCTGTTTGCAACATTACTGCAGAGATGTATACTATTTTTTTTAGATCTGAGACTTGAAAATCCCTTTTTGTTTGTACTTACTTTCTCCTGGATTGTAAATCTGAAACCCAGGAATTACTGTTCATTGTATGTCCTGATTTGACTAAGATGATCCCAGTTTTCATCTCCAGTACAAGGACCTTAACCGGTGTGCAAAAAAAGGTCCTGGAAAGTAGAACTGTAGAGACCCGCAAAGTCAGATTTAGCAATCTACAGGTAGTCCTCAGCTTACAAACCACCATTTAGCTCAAAATGCTTGTTGTTTAAATGAAAAAAATCTGTTAACCCTGAGTTTTGTCCCATTTTACGACCTTTCTTGCTATAGTTGTTAAGTGAATCAATACAATTGTTCAGTTAGTAACATGGTGCTTAAGTGAACCTGGCTTCCCCATTGACTTCGCTTGTGAGAACTGATCACATGAGCCAGGGACACACTGCACCCGTCATAAATAGGAGTCAGATGCTAAGCACCTGGTTTTTTTTCACGTGGCTGTGGGAATGCTGCAACAGTCAATGTGACAAATGGCCGTGTCATTTTTTAAATCAGTGCCGTTGTAACCTTGAACGGTCGCTAAATAAGTCAAGAACTACCTGTATTAAGAACTAGTTCCCCCACTATGCGGGGGGACTGTGTGAAAAGGACTGAACACCTGTTCTGACCCAAACCTGGTTCCAAGAAAGCAAACACAAGACAAAGGCAGCAGTATAATCTGTTGAAGTTTCAGCTAAGAATCTTGTTTCTTCACAGACAAAAGGCTGCTTCCAACTAATTAGCTCTGACAAGAAAGAGCCTTGCCAAGTTTTTGCAAGGCAGCCAAAACACAACAGATAAGAAATAGTTTACAATACAAGAGTCTTCAAATACCAACTGTAATGTCCGCGAGGCTGTTTCAAAACGTCTTTGCCTTCTGCAAAGAAGGTTAATTTCACAGCTGGCTTTTATCTTCTTGAAGGAGGGGCCATAACTTTGCAGCCTTACTCCCAAGTCACCTGTGCTGTTGTAACTGCTCTTTCCTACGAGCAATCCTGCACGCACATGCACTTGGCACAGGCTCCTCAGGAACCTCCTCATCACTGCTGCCAGCCCCCACAATCTCTGAAGGCAGCAGTCCACTCCCTAATGGTCCTGGCCCCTCATCTGAGTCCTCGCTCTCCTCAGCACCTGCTGCCGGCTAACCACAACAACACCTGTTTATAAGGAGCTTCCACAGTTCCAGCAGCAAGACACTGCTTTAAATAACTATATGATCCCTGAATGAGAATTCTGGGGTTATTAAAAATTTCTATTTCACTTCCAGTTGCCGAGGTTGAGAAACGCTGATCTAAATGGGTTTTTTGGCCTAATATGTCACCTTTGCTCTTCATTTGATATAGAGTCTGCATATGATGATGAAATCCAACGAAGCAGCTGGGGCAACAGTACAGTAAACACCACTGTCACAGGTAGAGCTCCTAATTTCACTCATACACCTTGAATTATATCATCCCGTGATTTATTTAAGTTTAGTATAGTCTAGTGTAAAGAGCAGTGGTTAGAATGCAGTACTGCAGGCTGTTTTTGCAGGATGCCAGCTGCCTGCAATTAGGCAGTTCGACTCTCACCAGGCTCAAAGTTGACTCAGCCTTCCATCCTTCCGAGGTGGGTAAAACGAGGACCCAGATTGTTGGGGGCAATTATGCTGACTCTGTAAACTACTTAGAGAGGGCTGTAAAGCATTGTGAAGCGGTATATAAGTCTATATACCACACACACACACACACACACACACACATATTAATCACTTAAAGATTCACAGATAGTTTACCTATATTGATATAGGCATGTATATGATTTGCAAATAATCCAGATTTGATGCTGTGTGTCCCACAGACTTCTGGGCCCCTCCAAAATTACTGTACTGATAGAAACACTACTAACAAAAGTGATTCTGTTCAACTCCACAGCCAAACAGTGAATCTTCTTGGTTTCTTTGCAGAAACACCCATTATTAAACTGATCGTGGGAGGTTCTGAATGTTACCAAAGCGAACATCCTTTCCTTGTATACTTGTATAACTCTGCCGGGTTATTCTGCTCAGGGACCTTGCTCAACCATGAATGGGTGCTCACTGCTGCACACTGCAACAGGTGAGGGCATTACAGAAGGTGGCAGGGTTGAGGGAGATTGTGCTTAAATATCCAGAGTTTTGTTATAATGTTTCTGCTAATTTGTAGTGACTTCTCTATGCATTTTGAATGAGCGTTCTGCTGCTCCTGCCCCTCACAATCATATCTTGAGCAATGCTGTTTATATTTATGGTACAATTTCCTTCTACTTCACCATAGTATTTCCTTTTTTTCTGGGATACAATAACAACAAACACAACAATATCTGGAACATTACCTTCACATCAGCATTGACAAAATCACCACAGTCAATTGCAAAAGGCAGCTTTACTTGGAACAGCTTACATCCTGTGACAATCCCTTTAATACCATGGAACCACAACATCTACCTACACCAGGTCCTCAGGAAGGACTCGATAGGTGGATAAAAATGGCAAATCCAGTCTAAATATCTGACTGACTGTGCAACCAACCAGAATAGATTAACCATATGCTGCCTGGCTCTGGGGGTTTGCAATAAGAAAATAAATTTCAAAAAAAAATTAAAAATTAAAAAAGCATAAAAGATAAAAACATGTGAGGGGCTTCTCTCTCCCTTGTCAAAGGCCTGGGCAAGGCACCACACCTGACTCTCTGGTTTCTTCCCCAAACCTCCCAAACTTTAACCTTAGACTGTCTACTGTTGTCCTCACCCCATTCCTAAGGGGTCTGTAAGGGGGCATGCATAAGTGCACCAGCATGCCTACTGTCCCTGTCCAAATGTTCCCTTTTATTCATATCCATTTCATGTATTAATAATCATGTTTATACTGATATCTGTTATCTAATACATACTTGACAAATAAATAAATAAATAAATAATAAAATCTTCATTAGTTCTCTAAAACAAGAGCAGATCTTGTGTTCATCTTTATCTATCCTACAATCCTTCGAAATAGGTTGGGTTGACAGAGGATGTGCGCAATACGAAATCATAACATTAATATCAGAACCACATGGACTCCTTAACTTTTCATTGTTTTTCTTGTAGGGACGATATCCAGATAAGGCTTGGTGTGCATAATGTACATGTACACTATGAGGATGAGCAGATAAGAGTCCCGAAGGAGAAGTTGTGTTGCCTCAGTACCAAGAACTGTACCCAATGGGGCCAAGATATCATGTTGATCAGGCTGAACAGTTCTGTTAACTATAGTGAACACATCGCACCTCTTAGCTTGCCTTCCAACCCTCCCAGGATGGGCTCATTTTGCAGTGTTATGGGCTGGGGCACAATCACATCTCCTCAAGGTAGGGATCTCTGACTATACTTTCAGACCAAGCTACTGCTGTAACATCAAACATCAAAAGCAGTAAGAGCTGCAATGGTGCAGTGGTTAGAATTCAGTACTGCAGGCTACTTCTGTTGGCTGCCAGCTGACTGCAATTTGGCAGTTCGAATCTCAGCAGGCTCAAGGTTGACTCAGCCTTCCATCCTTCTGAGATGGGTAAAATGAGGACCCAAATTGTTGGGGACAATATGCTGACTCTGTAAACTGCTTAGAAAGGGCTGCAAAGCACTGTAAAGTAGTATATAAGTCTAAGTGCTATTGCTATTTGTTGATTAGCTGGGATTGAGTTTATTCCATGTTCTCAGACTCAGCTTTCTTTGTCTGATTCAGATGACATTTTTCCTTTGTTTCCTTAAGACTTATATTCATCTTTTAGATACAATACCTGCCTTTTTGTTCTTCTTCACAATACAAGCTTATGGGCTGCTTCATCTTCAGCTTTGGAAGTTTCAGTATGCTGCCTGAGGAATTTTGAGAAATGAAGTCCACAATTCTTAAAGCTGCCAAATGTGGAAAGCCCTGTTCTAGATCTTCTCCAGAAGATGCAAGATCAATTATATGACCCTTGAACTAGCAAAAGTCCTACTTTGCCCACAGGGCAATCTTTGCACAGAGCACTGGAAGAAGTTGAGAAGCCTTCAGATACCCTCACCTATTAATATCTTGACAAAAACCACCTTTTGCAAACATTTAACTAAATCTATTTTTTCCAGTTGTCCCCTTTGGACATCTTGAAAGACAATACTTTCTACTCTGAGGCAGTGAGATAAGCTCTATTGGTTGGAAACAATGGAAGTTATAGTTCTATGTATCTAGGAGGTAAATTGAGAAAGGTGGAACTGTGTAACTTCACCTATTTTTATTTTTTTCAGTGACTTATTCTGAAGTCCCTCATTGTGTTGACATTAACATACTCCATATTCCGGTGTGTCAAGCAGCTTACCCATCAATGTCAGGGAAGAACACATTGTGTGCAGGTATCCTGGAAGGAGGCAAAGATTCATGTAAGGTAAGATGATCCCTTCTAAGACAGACTCCTAAAGAAACAGGGCCAGTTTTCAAAGCTATGATAAGAGATTGAGCCTTGAAGGCATCTTGTAGAAAGATACATACCAAGTCACAGCTTTTTCTAATTCCAGTGCCTTCTAGGATTTCCAGAGTTTACTGCCTGGGAATATTTACTGTTATATACTCAATACCGTTGATGCTGGTGGGGGACACTCTAGGAGTTAAATTGTACAAGGATCCTGCACTGGGGAACACCGAAGTGAAAACATTTGGGGTTATATGGGAATGGACGATGGAAGGGAACCGTTTGCTCCACTTCCATTCATAGATAGTAATGTGATGTTTCGTGTTTGATTTTTCTCAACAGGGTGATTCTGGGGGACCCCTCATCTGTAATGGACAAATCCAAGGCATTGTATCTTGGGGGCGCTTTCCTTGTGCCCAACTTCTTGAACCTGGCGTCTACACCAAGGTCTTCAATTATATTGGCTGGATCGAGGGTATTATTGCAGGAAATACAAGCGTAATCTGCCCCTAGTGACAATTTTTGAAAAAGATAAAAAGGAGAAAATGTAATGTATTAGTATATCTCTTCTATATTCCCCAATCTTATCCAACTACTTTGGAATATATTCCCAGGCAGTAAGCATTTTTGTGACTCAATGAGACTGCCTTTGGAGTAAGAAATACTCAAAATAGTGCTGCAGGGATTATGTCCCAGTTCAATCTCAATATACAATAAACTCAATAAGATGGAGGCCTGTTTTAGGGTGAGGTGCAAAATGTTGACTCTAAAATGGACCGTTCCAAATATTTTAACCTCTTAATATATTTCAATTTCTGTCCACTTCTGGGACAGTGGGGTTCTTGATGCTCGTTTTCTTGCAGACGTTTCATTACCCAACTAGGTAACATTATCAATGCTATAATATTCTCTTCTATTGGTACTTCTATGACATTTATAATACTCTCATATGGAGTCATGAATATCTCCATATATACCCGAGTCCCACTGTTGCCTAAAAAGCATCCCAGATTAATCCTCCACTCCCCAACCACGAAATAGAATCTTTCAGAACCATGTTTTCATGTAAATTCTCAAGTATCAACAGTAATAAAATCTTATAAATTATCTTTCATTTGTTTACCGATTCTTCATTTTTGATGCTCTTAGTAAAGAAAATGGCCTGGCAACTGGCAGCATCTGGCCAACTAGGCTTAAAAGCTGAAAATGCTCCGACCTGAGTAGGATGTGGATAGGATACTACCACAGTGAGCAACTGGAAAAAAAATAATTCTGAAAAATGGCAATGAAGCTCACAAATTGCTTGGGTTCATGTAGGTCAGGAAGCCATCACCAAACCAACCTGCTTAATGGCCTGATGCAATGTGTATCATAAAGCTAATTGACCCTTGCTCCTACCATTTATGGATGGATGCAATGGCAGAGATCAGATTTTACATAACCTCCACTGAGCTAGGTTTGGTTTTGCTGTGATGGAAAACTGGGCTTCCATCTTAGGTGGTCTTCCCTAGGCAGTCCTTTAATAGGACTCATTCTCCGATAAGTCTAACTGCTGTAATAACACAGGAATTTCCCCCACCACCACACAGACAAATTGATCAACTGAATTTGGGTTGCTTTTATAAGGTCTAACTCCCCTGGCTTTTTGAGGCTTAAAAATATTTCCAGTTAGGGAAAAAAAATATGTTTTCCTTCTATCTGTAGGAAGTTAGCACCCACCCTTCTCCTAGAAAAATGAAATATTTTAGGATATATTAAAAAGGAAGAATATTTCCCCTAAAAAAAGCAGTAGAAACTCAGAGAGGCAGAAACTCAGCCCCCACTACTTTGTTAATGGGCCATTAAGACCTGCAACTGTCTATTCTACATAACAAAGATCTACTTCCTCCAGACAGGGCCATTTCATTGCCCTTCATTGCATCATCCAGCAAATTTCAACCAAGCTTGGGACTCAAGACAACCTACAAAGTTACCCCTGCGTGGCCCCATGGGAGTCTGACAACTGATCAGGACACATTTCTTGCCACAGGAACAGGAAGCAAGTTCAAAGCCCAACAGAGGGTATAAATATATCTCACTCTCCATGTGGTCAGCTACCCAGAATCACACAAGCTTGGTGGTTTGGCTTCACCATTAAAGCATCTTTTCAAGCAGACCCCATGTTTCCAGTGTCTTTCTTCCCACTTGGAACTGAACCCTTCCCACCTATCCTAAAGGTGAAGTGAATTCTGTACCAATATCTCATATGGACAGAATTAATCACATCTTAGGCTTTTTTGCTTTCCAGAAGAGTCTGTTTTTATTGAGATATATATCCAGCAGTGGTTGGATTTGAATGTTTTTACTACCAGTTCTGTGGGCATGGCTTGGTGGGTGTGGCTTGGTGGGCGTGGCAGTGGAAGGATACTGCAAAATCCCCATTCCCTCCCCATCCCGCTAACCTGCTTTCCAGATCAGTTCTCCTGGGCAGGGCAACCAAAGACGACCCAGCCGATCAGCTAGGACTTGGGAGGCAGAGAATAGATGGGGTGGGGCCACTCAGAGGTGGTATTGGCTGGTTCTCCGAATTACTCAAAATTTCCGCTACCAGTTCTCCAGAACAGGTCAGAACCTGCTGAATACCACCTCTGGTACACTTGCCAAATTGTTTACTGGAGAGAATCTGGTTCAAGTCTAATTTCACTGAGAGAAGTTCCCTGACTTTGGTCCAGTCTCAAACCAAATTATCTAACATAGCAGTTGTGGAAGAAGAATGCAAGGAAAAAATGCTAGTTATGGGGCCTTCAGCCTCTGGAGGAAATATGGCACATAAATCTAGAAAAACATGTTTTTTAAAAGATTCAGAAATGCTTCTAACAATACTTTGTTTGGATTGGCACATCACAATCAACAGGAGTCATTTTAAAGATATAGAATTTCAAAACTCAGAAAGGGGTCATTTCCTGGTCAGCTTAGGTAATAATTAATTTTAAACGACCCCAGGTAAGTTTTGAGTTTTACCTTAAGCAAGCCAATTTAGGTAAGGCAAACCATGGGAATGCTGCAGTGGTTGTAAGTGTGAAAAATAGTCATAAGTAACTTTTTTCAATGCCATTGTAACTTTGAATGGTCACTAAACAAACTGTTGTAAGCCAAGGACATACCTGTATATGTGGCCCATCGGTCACCTCTGTCCTTAATCTGTTCAGATAATGCATCTCTGTCATTATTAATCAGTTCACTTTTAAACAATTTTTTTGCTTACCTGCCAAGTGCCACAAGTGTCTTTGGTGCATACTTTAAGTTTGGCAGCTCTTTTCCAATCTAACCCCTGAAATTCTTCTAGGCATTTTTCAGCCTTCTGCAGGTTGCAGTAACATTCTTTGGTGGTAGAAAAGTCAAGGAAAAATCAATAATGGAAGTTCATTTAAGGCCTGATGCTTCAAGCAGGCATCTTCCCTACCCTGAATCAATTTGTCAGGCTCCAAAAAGCAAGAAAGACACGCTGAGTATCTTCTAAGCAATTTCTTTGATTGTTTCTCACTCAGACAGAAATCTTGCCAAACTAAAGCAAACTCCTTGCATTATTAAAGGTATACTGTGGGAATACCTAGGGAGAAGCAGCTTAACCCTCTTCCCCTCAACCAAGCTGCCTCTTGATTCTCTAAAATGCTCCTCCCTCCTGGGAATCCAGACTACATTCTACCCAGTATGTATTTATTTGGTTAATTATTTATATTTTTATATTGCTAAACCATCAACCTTATGTGGGAAGAAATATCCATCTGGTACAGTTCCAAGCTGGGAGAAAGACCCTGGAAACATGGAGGCTGAATGGAAAGAGGGTTTAATGATGAAGCAGAACCAGCAAGCACATGCTTCTAGTGCAGCTGACCACATGGAATTGAGAGTGAGGGGTTTTTATACCTTCTCTTGGGCTTTGCACTTGAGCTTACTGTTCCTGTGCAAGAACATTATTCTATTGGTTGTTGTCAGACTCCCATGGGGCCATGTAGGGGTCATAGCTGGTTCTATAGGCAAAGTACAAATCGTAGGCGGTTGTCAGAGCTCCCAGGTTTGGTTGAAGTTTGATGGGGGTGATGCAACTGAGACAATGAAATTAAGGGGCTTGTGTTCTGAAAGCATGTTGGACAATTTCTATTATGGCTTAATGACTTTGTCCTAGTTTGGATCTTGAGTGAGGGCTAATTCTACCATTCTTCCTAATTCTGCCTTTGTTTCATAATACCCTGTCTTGAATGGATTACCAAATCTGCATTTCTAAAAGCTGGCCTCAGCATTTGCTGAGGCTATTAAGAAAGACTTAGAGTATGTTTTCTGTCTTAAAAAAACATGTTTCTCCATTTCTCATCTAGGGAAATATAATATTCCGCCCTTTTAAATATCCCCCAAAATATTTCATTCTTCTAGGAGAGGGGTGGGTGATAACTTTTTACACTTATATTCCAGCACTGGTTTACCCCACTGATGGAAAGACCCCGAGCTATCTGGTGAAGTACTCAGCTATGCAAAAGAATTTTGTTTGTGCTTCCCATATCCAACTCCTTTGCTCTGGCCACTGGCAAGGATATTATTCTTTCTGCATCAGATTTGCCATGCCCAAGGTGTAGTAGATTGTCACAAAGGTGCTCAAAATAGTTCCTTTTTCCTCTGAGGATGCTGGAGGAGTATCATCCCTTAGGGAGAGGAGGATATATTTCGCTGAATTTGCATGGTGCATAGCTTGACACGGAAGACCTGGAATAATTAATAAAATGACTGAACAAAAATAGAAAGAAGCATAGAGTAGTTTGTCCTATCAAAACGTTCAATGAATTGGCTTGGGTTTAATACTGTATGCCTTTTTTATGGGTTTTAGTACTGTATGCCAGTGTATACTGCATAAGTCAAAAAGACCGCTGTGAAATTATCTACAAACCTCTCACATCCTGGACATAAATTGTTTCAACTTCTACCCTCAAAACAATGCTATAAGGCAGGGGTCCCCAACTGCCGGTCCGTGGACCGATACCGGTCCGCAGAACAAGTCTTACCGGGCCGCTGGTTGCTGGGCGCCGCCATCTTTTTTTGGTAAAAAAGTGCTTCCGGTGAGCTTTTCCGGGTAGAAAGCTCACCGGAAGCACTTTTTCATCAAAAAAAGATGGCGGCGCCCAGTTGATGCCGGTACCGGGCCGCGGCGCCCAGCTGATGCCGGTACCGGGCCGCGGCGTCAAAAAGGTTGGGGATCACTGCTATAAGGCACTGCACACCAAAAGAACTAGACACAAGGATAGTTTTTTCCCAAATGCCATCACTCTGCTAAACAACTAATTCCCACAACATTGTCAAACTATTTACTAAGACTGTATTACTATTATTCTTCTCATCCTCCCTAGTACCTATCTCTTCCCACTTATAATTATAACCATGCTGCTTGTATCTTTATAATTTATATTGTTTTATTTGTTTCCTGGTATGATTTGATTGCATATTAGTAACCTATGACTATCACTAAGTGTTGTACCTTATGATTCTTGATGAATGAATTTTTTTTCTTTTTATGTACACTAAGAGCATGTTCACCAAAGACAAATTCCTTGTGTGTCACACTTGGCCAATAAAGAATTCTATTCTATTCTATTCTATTCTATTCTATTCTATTCTATTCTATTCTATTCTATTCTATTCTATTCCTATTCCTATTCCTATTCTTTTTCTTTTTCTTTGATGAAATTATAAAGTAGTCACTAGATGGCAGTATTTCAACAGCCAAGCATTTCAAGTAGAATACTTTATTGGCCAAGTGTGATTGGACACACAAGGAATTTGTCGGTGTAAATACTCTCAGTATACATAAAAGAAAAGATACATTCGTTAAGAATCAAGAATCATAATGTACAACACTTAATGATAGTCATAGGGTACAATCAGCAATCAAATCATACTAGGAAACAGTCAATATAAATCATTAGGATACAAGCAACAAGGTTACAGTCCTACAATCACAAGTGGGAGGGGACGGGTGATAAGGAGTGATGAGAGATTAACAGTAATAGTAGTGCAGACTTTGTAATAGTTAAACAGTGTTGAGGGAATTATTTGTTTAGCAGAGTGATGGCTTTCGGGGGGAAAAACTGTCCTTGTGTCTAGTTGTTCTGATGTGCAGTGTTGTATAGTGTTGTTTTGAGGGTAGGAGTTGAAACAGTTTATGTCTGGGATGTGAGGGGTCTGTAGATATTTTCACAGCCCTCTTTTTGATTCGTGCAGTACACAGGTCCTCAATTGAAGGCAGGTTGGTAGTAACTGTATTTCCTTTCCAACTCCAGCAATAAAACCCTGATATGTTCACTGCTGAATGATCATTGCTATGCATTTGGAAACATGCACCCCAATCATCAATCTAATAATTTTCTCTCTTGGTTCAGGTGCAGTTGTTTAGATTTTAGGATCTGGGTTGCTGACTAGTATTTTCCCTTCCCTGTTATTTTGTCTTCTCAATGTCTATTCTTGGAGTTGCCTGCACCTTTCTTCTTCTTCTCCTCCTCCTCCTCCTCCATTGCTCTTGGGAGTGATTCATCTTTGTTGATGCTTGCTAATTTAACAGACTTCTTCTCTTAACATCTGGGGATCATTGTTTCCTTCCACTGCTATCCTTGCAAAATGTCACTGTTCCTTATAAGGGGGTGAGAGGACAGTCATGATGTTATTCAACTCGGATTCTGGGTGAGATTTGAGAAAACTGGAATCAAAGTTGTTCCCTGCCTACAGTCTGCAGGTCTTCTGCCATTGGCTATTGGTAAGTGGGGAATCTGGTATTTGCCTGAGTACAGGGGTGGGATTCAAATTTTTTAATAACCGGTTCTGTGGGCGTGGCTTAGATGGTGGGCATGGCTTGGTGGTCATGTGACTGGGTGGACATGGCTTGGTGGTCATGTTATTAGCTGGGTGTGGCCAACTCAATATCACTCACATCGAGGCACGCATCTCCTCGCCTGGCCTCTCATGACTGTGGGGATGCTGCAACAGTCGTAAGTGTGAAAAATGGTCATAAGTCACTTTTTTCAGTGCCAGTGGGCTTGATCTTATCAAAGAGTCACATGCAAACTTCCCAGAATCGGCAAAAGATTTATAGCCTCAAAAACAAACACACAAGCAAACAAAAAGCACCATACCTTTCTTAGTTTACAGCCATATAGTGTTAATATATACCCCATACACACCCACGGCTTCCTCCTGCAGAAAGTTTACATAATACAGTTTGATTCAGGACCAGAAATACTAAGGATTCTTAAGGACAACAGATTATTATTAGAGCAAATCTGTGTAAGACATGAAATACATCCTTAAGAAAGGATGTTGACTGCTGAATATACTTCCTCTGATAAAAGCCTGAAGTAGCCCAGCAGCCAGGCATTCATAACAGTCCTATATTTTTGTCCCAAAGACTCTGAAAAATGCCCCGTTTCTGTCACCCCCAAAGATTACCAAGACTTTTGAAAAACCTTTTAAAAACATTTGGCACTGTGTGCAATGGTTCCTCCTATTGCTGTCTGATTGTAGTAGGGTGAAGCTTCATTTGAAAAATCAATGGTTTACAACTAGTCCTCGATTTACAATCATTCATTTAGTGACCACTCAGTTACAGCGGCCCTGAAAAAAAGTAACTTATGGCCGTTTTTCATACTTATCACTGTCGCAGCATCCCCATTGTCATGTGATCAAAATTCAGATGCTTAACAACGGGTTCATATTGATGATGATTGCAGTACCTTGGGGTTGTGTGATCACCTTTTGAAACTTTGTGACAAGCAAAGTCACAAATACAGAATTGGAAGGGACCTTGGAGGTCTTCTGGTCCAACCTCTGCGCAAGAGGGAGACCCTATACCACTCCAGATAAATGGTTGTCCTATTTCCTTCTAAAAACTCCAGGGATGGAGCACCACAACTTATGGAGTCAAACTGTTCCACTGATTGTTTTCCATGATAGGAAATTTCTCCCTAAGTTGGATGTCTCTTTGATAAGCTTCATCCATTACTTCTTCTCTTGCCCTCAGATGCTTTGGAACTATAATACCTATTAACTTTTATGTATTTATTATTTATTTAGTTTTAAATTCATTTAACTATAATGTACTCCTTTGGTCTTTTTAGCTGCCAGAAAAAGGGAGTGACATTTCTGCTTGTGATTGAAAAGGAGGGACTGCAGGAAGAAATTCTGCATCTTTATTTCCCAGCTAGCTAAGTATGCATAGCCCATCTCCAAGTCCCAGGTCTATGTAATATTTCCACATGGATTAGGCAGAAATTGGAAGGTAGACATCTGAATGACTTACAAGCTGGGGACAACCCAGGGTAATTATTGCTGGGATTCTAGCATTCTTCATGTATACAGCGGATTCTGGGAAGGGCAGAACAAGAGTATCCAGAGCAGCGTTTCTCAACCTTGCAACTTGTAGACGTGTGGACTTCAACTTCAAGAATTCCCCAGCCAGCAAGGTTGAGAAATGCTGATCTGGAGGGCACTGGATTTAAGAAAAACCATTTGTTGTCCGCACATTGGTTCTTTGCATTCAATAGTTGGCTTTTGTACCAAAGTAGTATATAACCCCAATTCCTCCACACACCCCCCCCCCCCCCATCTCATCCATACAGCAGGTCTAATGATGTGTGTCTTTGAAGAATGAAAAGCCAAGTTAAAAGTCCCCCAAACTAGTATGGCTATTGTGAAAAATTAGATCCTTCAAAACTGGAATGATCTGCTGAATGAATATTAGCTTCCAGATTACTAAAGGCAACTTGACAAAGTTGACAGAATGAGTTTTGTTGTCCTACTTCTACCTTTGCCTCCAGGAAGAAAAGGTCATGTTTCCTTCTTTTGCAATTGATCAATATTGTCATTTGGGCTGACAGCTTATTGAATCTGCCTTGCAGAATAAAATGTTATGCCTCCTTATAGACAACCCGATGCAATTTCTTGTTACTCGCCATCTTGGCAGGCCTTTAGGCTTCAGGCAGAGCAAAAGGCCCCACCTGCCTTATTTTTAAAACATTTTGCAGCTGCGAGAGTCATGCTGTACTATGTAATTACATATACAATACAGGGACAACAGATTAATCAGAGTGCGTCTAAGCCATGCTTTAAAAAAAAACACAGAACTTCACCAAGTCTTTAAAAAGACCAAGCCAAGATAAGTCGAATTTCATGGATAGTAAAATTTAGACACCACACTGATGTACCTACAACGCCAATGCTGAAAAGTACAGAAACACAAGCTAGGTCTTCAGAAGTTTCACCATGGCACCACGGCATGCCTTGGTTGTGGTGGCACTAAGGCATTTTTGTGTGCTTTAATTCAGTTGTAATCTAGCTACCTTCAGCACCTTGGCCGATCATAAAAAGCTAAGCCAAATTAGACTTGTTTACCACTGGGAAGGAGGCATTCCCACCAATGAATTCCTAGCCTGTAGCAGAGATGGTATTCAGCAGGTTCTGACTAGTTCTGGAGAACCGCTAGTGGAAATTTTGAGTAGTTTGGAAAACTGGCAAATACACCTCTGACTGGAGATTTTACAGTATCCTTCCCCTGCCATGCCCACAGAACCGGTAGTAAAAAAATTTGAATCCCACCACTGGTCTGTAGGATAGACTGTCAAGTTGAAAAAACACTGCTCCCCAAAGATGAGTGTCCAAGCACTTCAATATTGTCACCCCAAAAAACTACAGTATGTTATTGAAATCACCAGGTGTTTGATTTGTACTTGAGACTTGAATTTTACTGTAGAAATTTCATTGATCCCCATTAGTGTCACATCTGTGAATTACTTGGTTTAGTCCTTTTTAGAAGGGAGTTAATATTCAAGAAAAACTTCAAAAAACCTCCGTATTTTACAGTTTACAGTTTTTTGGGAAACTGTAAGAATAAATAAAAGCCTAAGTCCATTGCCAGGAAATAGGAAACCACAAGGTTTGATTTTGTATTTTGATTTTGTAATATTTTTAGCTAAAACTGCAATTCATTCCCATTTAACTCCCGGGATCTGTTTTAAGTAATTATAAGCAAAGATGAATTGTGTAGAATGAGGATGGCAATCCCAAGAAATTGGAGCCATACTAGGTCCAGATCTCAGAAAGCCAAGCAGGATTGAATCTAGCTTGCACTTGGATAGAAGCGGAATCCCAGTTCCATGGGCTAGACTGAAAAATTAATTAAAAAAAAAAAACAAATTCCGAGAGAATCAGTAGTTGAGCCCTTCTACACAACAGACAAGGAAATCACATGAATGTGTCTATGAAATAACCAGGAGCCAAACTGACTGAAATAATATTTGATCTTTATCTAATTAATCTGGCCACCAAACTAAGCCCTATATAGTCCCTTGGCTTGCCAATATGAGTGTAGGTGTGGTTTTATTCCCCCATGGTAGTTCCTTGATTAGTGTACTGTTTTCTGCTTGACTGTTTGACTCCTTAATTTCTTGCGTATACACAGGAGTAATCCCACACTCACTTGCACTGACATTACCTAACTGGGTAACGTCATACCTGATGTACATACCACTTCCTAGTGCTTTACAGCCCTCTCTAAGCAGTTTACAGAGTCAGCATATTGCCCCCAACAATCTGAGTCCTCATTTTAGCCACCTCGGAAGGATGGAAGGCTGAATCAACCTTCAGCTGGTCAGGATTGAACTGCTGGCTCTGTAGGCAGAGTTAGCCTGCACCATCAGGGCCCCTAATGAAATGTCTGTAAGAAAACAACCAAGGATTCCACAGTTCAACCCTATATTCTCTTCTTTTGGGCGTATCAGTTGTGTTGGCAGCAGAAACATAGTTGTAAACAGTGGTGGGATTCAATTTTTTTTACTACTGGTTCTGTGGGCATGGCTTGGTGGGCATGGCAGGGGAAGGATAGTGTAAAATTTCCAGTCAGAGGTGGTATTTGCCGGTTCTCCGAACTACTCAAAATTTCCGCAACCGGTTCTCCAGAACTGGTCAGAAACTACTGAATACCAACTCTGGTTGTGGATTAAGGAGATCAGGGCCTTTGCAAATTTTCCTAATATCTCCATGTGTTCCTTGAATAACTTTTTCCTTGGTTCTTCTGAAGCATATTAATATAAACCATTACACAAAAGATCTAGAAATGAAAACACGGACAAAAAAAAACTTTTATTAGCTGAATAAGGAAACTTCTGTAAATGTACAAAGGACTATTACTATACTATAGAATACAATTTCCAATGTGTCCATAAGGATAATCATAATAAATACATGTAACAAAATAAAAATGTTAGGCAAACCTACAAAACCGTTCCTCAAGTGTTACACCTGGCAGTGTTTATTGACCTCTGTTAAGAGTTATGTTTTGTTTGTTTTGCTGGTAAATGCTGCAAAGTTTTCCCACCCCCTTGAAATATTAAAACAGGTGCTGTGTGAAGAAATATTATCTCAATTATTCAAATACTGAGAAAGGCAGAAGAAAGAATGAGACAGAAGGAAAGGATTCAGTTCAAAATTCTGCTCATTGTTAAAAGAACAACAGAAAAATAAAAAGTAAATGAGAGAACTATGTAAGTGCCTGGTGAATGTTGTAGCCCTGAGACACTGAACAATTACTTGCCACTTATATTACAGGCCTCTGAGGATCTTTGTAGGGGTGAGGTTGTTTATAATTAAGTCATTCCATACACCAAAGACACAAAATGGTTCTTTGTTTTAGGGGAAATATACATTGTTTAGATATGGGGCTTTATTTTTAACCTAGGGACAGCTGGAGTGATGCATTTATTCATTTTACAAATTCTGTTTAAAAACTTTAATCAGTGCGGTCTAGTTTTCAAAACTGTGGCATCCACTATCCGTCTCTGAAATATGAGTGCTCATGAAAATACATGTTTACACTAGATGTGTAAATTTGTTTAATCAAATTAATTCTGCAAGTTATACTTTTCATCAATTAAATACTGGGAATCCTATATTTATGTGATATTCTTCCATAAAATAATTGACATCCTTGGCAAGCTCATACTAGTTTGAAATTGATTCCAGAAACCAATTAACAGTATAAACATGTCCTTAAAATAGAAGATAAAGCATAACATATTTCTTCTTGCTATCCCAAAATGATATTCTAATACAGTATTTCTCAACCATGGCAACTTGAAGATGTGTAGGCTTCAACTCCCAGGAATCCTCAGCCAACGTTGCAAATTCTGGGAGTTGGAAGTCCATGCATCTTCAAAAGTTGCCAATGCTGAGAAACACTGCTCTAAACACTACTGGTTATCATCATTCATGTTGCTACTATCAACCTGGATTATCTATTACAACTATTATTCATTTTTACTAAAATTTAGCAGCCAAACGATTTTTAGGCACCATTGCAATTTATAGAACCATCCCTAACCATATTTCATTTAATGCGACAAACATTTCTGGGAAACAGGCTTTTTCTCTGCTTTAATTGTTACAGCATTTTGGAAAAGAAAACAACAACATATCTAAAATACATGGACAGTTCTACTTCAGCACAAGTTTTCTAGAGAGAGTGGACTACTTCCACTAATTTTATTACAGAGTGCATGTTAAGGGAGAAAACCAAGAAAGAAATTGCGTAAATTCTTATTAAAGTCTATTGCAAAAGTATTACATAGCAAACACATTTCATTATAAAGGCTTTTCTAAATTGGAGGGCCAGTAAAAATATATCATAGAGAAGATTTTTATTTTCTTTACAAAAGTGAGGTTTGGAACTGTGAGATAAGATAACTCACTGTAAACATCATGAATTCAATCAGATCCCTTGCTTGCAATTTGAAATACCCTTTTCCCTCTTCTAAGTTCTATTCCCAATAGAACTGCAAAATTTTGCATAGATAGTTTGATTTCCTGCCTGATAATAAAACTGAGGTTTTAGCAATTAGCTGTTTCAGAAGTAGTTACTTGTTTTAGAACAGGGGTGAGGAACTATGGCCCATTTATGACTTGTGGACTTCAACTTCCAGAATTCTGGGAGTGCAGTCCACAAGTCATAAAAGGACTATGGTTTCCCACCCACTTAGTACATGGCTATATTTTATGTTACCTATTTAATACATATGACAAATCTGGTGCTTTCGCAGTCCATAAATTACTTGATAAATAAAAAGAAAACACTGCAGCTGGCTTTGCTCAACAAGGTGAAGTTGTCTTCCTTACGATTAGCTTCTAGGTTATATTGGACATCTGAAGGCCTAAAAATATAAAGAAGGTAATTTTATCCATTTAAAAATAACCAGGAATTGAACAATTAATTTCTGCCTCTAACTTCAAATGGTGCAGCTGCTTATAACTAAAATGTTGAAAGTTTACCTCAACTCATCATAATTCAAGAAAACACACAACCACGTTCTAATACTGAAGGTCAGAGGTTGATCATCCCTGATTTATAGTAAACTGTAATCTCTGGTGAATTCTGCATTTATGTCCAAGATGCAAAATTAGCACTTTGGAAAACTTTCTAAGGTGAGCTTCAAATTCTGCAGCAGCAGCAGCAGCAGCAGCAGCAGCAGCACAATCAGGGATCCACAAAAACAGTTTCACCTTTTTTTTGTGATGGGTTTTTACACATTGTTAAAATCTGTTTCAGCACTTTCTGGACATCTTCATCCATCTGGCCCTAGAGAGGAGGAAAAAACAGTAAAGACAAACAATATTTGAGCAAAAAGCACTAAGCCAAATTCTTAATTCCTGTCTTATAATATTACAATCATTACTACACTGTTATAATAAAACAAGCACTCATTTTATCTTATGATCATCATGCTCTAAACTATAAACATTTGTTACTCTGTTATGTGTGTCAAAATGTTCTCCTTTGTAAGTACGAGTTGAGATGGCAATCTTTACTCAATCATTCCAGTTAAAATGATTGAGTGTATTTTTTTTTTAGTTAAATTACAGTTACCCCTCATTTACAATGATTTGGCCAGACCAACTCAAAAGAGGCATTCATTCTCATACAACAGTTGAGTGCAATATGTCTTCCTGAAGCATTTATTAATATTAATAAACCTTAGTAGGGCCACACCTGGAATACTGCATCCAGTTTTGCTTGTCACATTACGAAAAAGATGTTGAGACTTTGGAAAAAGTGCAGAGAAGAGCAACTAGGATGATTAAAGGCTTGGAGGCTAAAATATACGAAGAACGGTTGCAGGAACTAGGTGCAGCTAGTCTGGAGACTAGGAGTGACAGGATAACAGTGTTCCAGTATTTGATGGGCTGTCACAAAGAGGAGGGGATCAACTTATTTTCCAAAGCACCAGAAGGCAAGACAAAAAGCAATAGATGGAAACTAATCAAGGAGAGAAGCAACCTGGAATTAAGGAGAAACTTCTAACAGTGAGAACAATTAACCAGTGGAACAGCTTTGCCTTCAGAAGTTGTGGGTGCTCCATCACTGGAGGTTTTAAGAAAAGAGTAGCTATCTGAAATGGTATAGGGCAAGGGTCTTCAAACTTGGCAAGTTCAACTCCCAGAATTCCTGAGCCAAGAGAACTGGAGGAGGAATTCTGGGAGTTGAAGTCCACCAATCTTAAAGCTGTTAAGTTTGAAGAACCCTGGTATAGAGCAGGGGTGGGATTCTACCAGTTCGCACCTATTCGCTAGAACCGGTTGTGAACATTCTAAGCAGTTCGGAGAACCTGTTGTTAGAAGAAATTACTGGCCTAATCCTGTAAGGAAGGCAGGGAGGAAACATTCTGGTGTTGCTTATAGAAACAGCCTCTCCATTGACGCTTATTACATTCTTGGCAGGACTAGACTTCCTGTCTCAGGAACTTCTCTGGAGTTTTTTTCCCCTCCTTTGTTGGTACTTTGCTTGTGTGGAGGGACCATTCAAAGTTACAACGGCACTGAAAAAAGTGACTTATGACCATTTTTCACACTTTCGACTGTTGCAGCATCCCCACAGTCATGAGAGGCCAGGTGAGGAGATGCGTGCCTCGATGTGAGTGATCTTGAGTTGGCCACACCCAGCCAATAACATGACCACCAAGCCATGTCCACCCAATCACATGACCACCAAGCCATGCCCACAGAACCGGTTGTTAAAAAAATTGAATCCCACCCCTGAATTGATGGCCTTGAAAGAAATACAAGGGGAACTGAAGGGAAAAAACCTCTCACCTGCACAGCATAAAGCAAGTGTGTTCTGTAAACAGAAACAATCTCCTGATGTTGCTTCTTTGTTTCCTGTAAAGCAAGATGATCAATCAACACATGAACAAGCATGCACTAGAATTCTAATGGAACATGGATGTAGTTTTCTAACAAGATAATGTAAAACAGAAAGTGATACTAATTCACACAAGCCATAATCTGCCACATGTATATTGGAGATTGCAGTGCAAGGGCAGAGTTGTGTCCGTCCATCCCAGATATTCCCAATTCTACCCTGGGGAAAGAATCCCAGACATGTATGAGCAAAATAGAAAATAGTAGTTTCCTGGTTTGGATTAGAACAGGAGTGTCAAACTGGATTTCTTCGAGAGCTGGATCAGCATGGTGCTTATTATGACCCAGTGTGTAACACAAACGTTAACAAAATCCAAAATGTAAATAAATGCCCTTTAATGCCTCCAACTTGGCCCCACTGTTCAATAATTCTCAGTTGGAGATAAAACGTACTCAAAAATAGACTTCAAAAGAAAGCCATACAGGCCGAATTTAATGAGCAGACAGATAAGAGGTGAAAATAAAAACCAAGCAAACTACAATGATGAAATTTCCACAATGGAACAGGAGAAGTATTTACCAAATTCAAGGAGATAGCAAGGCACAGTCTGTTGGAAGGATGCCAACCAAGATAACCTCAAACCAAAATAAAACATGCTTTGTCTCTGCAATCACAGCGATTCACTTAATGACTGCCGCAAGAAAAGTCAGACCTGCTTAACAACCGACACAGCATACAGCTGTAACTCCGGACTCAATTATAGTAAAAAATCAAGGAGTTCTTGTATCCAGTTTAATCCCAAGGAGAATCCTGGTCTCTAACTACAAAAATAAGCAATTGTACATGAGGAAGTTATAAACTTACAGCCAGTTGGTTTTGTAACTGCTTCACTTGCTGCTGCAACAGCTCCAGCTGCTGACTTTGTCGTTTAGGTGTACCAGTTGAGTAAGACAGCTGGGAAAGACTGTTCAATGCTTCCTTTAACTTGGTAACTTCCTTAGACATGTCTGTTATCTATAAAAGGGGAAAAGGAAAAAAAAAAACTTCATTATTCCAGAGTACATCAAAGTCCTGGCACTGGTTGAGTTCTGCTTTAAAGGTGGAAAACAGCCTTCATCATTGTCATCATGCAGATGGCATGCTTAATCATAATGTAAAGGTAGCCCTCAACTTACAACTATTTGTTTAATGACCGTCTGAAGTTACAGCAGCACTGAAAAAAGTGGCAACTGATTCCTCATGCTTACAAACATCATAGCAACCCCCCCTCCAATCATATGATAAAAAAGGGTGCTTGGCAACTAGCATGTATTTATGATGATTGCACCAATCACCTTTTACAGCCTGATTTTTCTGCAAAAACACACCCGGTGATGAGGGTCTATTTCAGAGGCCCCCAAACTTGGCAACTTTAAGACATGTGGACTTCAACTCCCAGAATTGGCTGAGGAATTCTGGGAGTTGAAGTCTACACGTCTTAAAGTTGCCAAGTTTGGGGACCCCTGGTCTATGTCTTTAAACTCCCTGAAACAAGTTCATGCAAGAGATACTGTACAAAACCATCTCGGAGCATAGGAAACCATTTCTGCATTTACATCATGGTTCTGTTATTGGAAACAGATAAAAAAGCCAAAGGAATTGAGCCTAGGCCAGGATTCTGCAATGACCACAAAGAACCTAGCACAGCAACATTTTTCAAGTAACCAGTGGATGAAGATGCTTCTGGGGGGAGCATTTGAACCACGAGAAACTCAGCCAATCCCGAGAGGGATATCAGAACAACTAACCTTTTTATCTTTGTCTTCATCCATTTTTAAGGCACTCTCAGAAGCTTTTTTCATTTTGAGGAGTTCTTCTTGAGACTTATGATATTGATGAAGTAGCCCTTTGATTTCTTCTTCCTTGGCTTGGAGAAGAGTTTGGAGGTTGTCCTTCTCCCCTTTCACTTGGGAGATCTCCTTCCTCAACTGTGCAAGATCGGCAGACAAGGCCTCCTTTTCTTTCATCAGATCCTTCAGCTTGGATGACAAGGAGTTGACTTCATTTTCTGAAGAAGTCCGAAGCTCTTCATACAATACTCTAGGCACCATGGCTTCACACACTGCAGCTTCTTCTTCTAACAACTCCTTCTGCAGACGCTGCACTTCACTCTCTTTATGAAGAATCTGCTCTTTGAGCGCATTTATTTCTTCTTCCATTTCCTTCACTGAGGTCTGGAGAGCAGTAACTACTTGAAGATGTTCTGTGATGGAGACCGAATTCTTCTTTTGAGTGTCAACCAAGTTTTGGAGTTCGGTCATTTCACTTAACACTTTTGTGTACTGTGTCTTCATTTCCAACAAAGCATGTTCAGCTTGTTCTCTCTGTGAGACGGTGGCCTCCATTAACTTCTCACATTCCTCCAGAGGTATGTATCCTGAACTCAGATCTTCTGGAGTGCTTTTCTTCCTGCAATCTTCAAGTTCTGCCTGGGCTTCTTTGTACATTTGAGAAAGTTCACTAACCTGCCTGTTGAGTTCATTTATCATTTGGTTCTTTGCATCCTTCACCTCTTCAGCTTCATCACTCTGCCCTAATTCCATCTGAGTCTTCAGTCTGTCTTGAAGCTTTCTGATTTCTTCCTGTCCTTCTTTATATTTCTCAATTAGGAACACCTTCTCTTGGTTGATATTTTCAATAACTGAACAATAAGACTTTTTCATCTCCTCACATTCCTCCACAGACATTATACTAGCTGCATTTCTTTCCTTTTTTTCCAGCTTTATTTCTAGTTCCTTCACCTTCACTTTCAGCATTTCATCATCTTCCTGAGCTTTCTTCAGCTTTTCCTTCAGCAGCTCCACTTCTTCACAGGTTGTTTGGGCCTCCTGCAGGTCAAGCTCTTTGCTTTCTGAAGTTACCAGGCCCAGTTTCATTTGTCTCTGGACATGCAGCATCTCCTTCACTGCTTCTTCATATTTGAGTTGAGTTTCTTTGAGTTTCTGACTCAGGTCAGAGCCATTCTCTGAAATTTCTGAGCTGTTTAACAAAGGACCCTCCTCCAGCACACTAGACTGAAGCTGTGACTCCAAGTGCAACCTCTTTGCTTCTGAACTATCTAGTCTCTTCTGTACTTCATCTAAGCTTTCTTGTAACTGTTTAATTTGTAATTCATTAAGGCTTGCTTCTTCCCGAGCCTGTGCCAGAATTGGGGAAGATGTGCTTATCTCCTTGGCTGCTACTGTTGAGCCTTCACTCAGCCTGTTAGTCAAAGCACCAAATTCTGTGTGGGTGGAATGAGAAGAGTCCATTGTAGTGTCTGTGTCTTCTGTTTTGAAGGCTCTTGCCTACAGAGACAGCAGAGGGCAGTATTCAACAATTATGTCTAATTCTAATGGAATCCAAGAATTCCTTCCCCATCAAGAAAACAAGGAGCTAGATTTTTCTCCCCTCTTTGATCATTACTGGGTCAACATTTGATTTCCACTCAACCAGCAAACCTCTCCCTCCACCCGTCCGCTTCTGCCAGAAGGATGATTATTGTGGTGTGGCTGGTCCCAAGAGTTCCCATTTCCACAATGCAGTCCTGAATTGTATTTCTGATTTCAGAATCCTGAAGATAATGATACTGACTGCATAAACCACAAACATGAGGACACAGAAGAGGGGATAGAAACCTGAATGTCTTCCAGGTGATGTCATGGCAAGCTTTTAGCAAGGCTAAATCGCATACCCCAAGACACAAAAACACATATATCCACCCCTGTGTTTCTCTATGAAGGAGTAGAGAGAAGCAATATAAGAAAGCAAATGTGTAGATGCCAAAGCAGAGGACTAAGTTTCTCCCACTGGATCTTGCATGGAGCACTTATCTCCATGTTGCTAAAAGGAAAGAGATGTTGCTTCTGGTTGGTTTAAAACAGTAAAGTGTTTTTCTCTTTTGCAGGGCAAACAAAGATGATTTTCAAGCTACTGCTCTGTGGGAGTGTGTAAACCCACATTTGCTCTCCATTTGCAGCTGCACAGAGAATGGCAGAGTTGTGCCAATGTGGGTGGTAGTGAATAGTAGTCAATATGGTCTGGAGAGATCCAAGTTCAAGCCCAACCTCACCCAAGCAAGCTCACTGGATGATTTTTGAGCCAAACAGTCTCAGTCTCAGTCTCAGTCTCAGTCTCAGTCTCAGTCTCTCTCTCTCTCTCTCTGTTGTTATAAGGGCAATATGAAGGGAGATTCTCATCTAAGCTACTCTCTGCTTTTCAGAAAGAAAAGAGTGACATGAATCATGTACACAAATAAGCCATAATTGTGGGTTATTTGTCAGGGAAGGAATGGGTGCTATACTAGAAGAACTCTGATTTGGCTTCCATTTGTGGTATGGATGGACCAACTGATGGATCAGAAATTTCCAATCCCATATAATTTCTTAAATCTGCAGCAAACTTGTTTTGTATCCTTCAGATTTCTGTTTAATATTTTTCCATTGCAGCACTGACATCCTTTGTCAAAGTTACCGGTGCTGTTTTGTGCTAGAAGCTATTCCTAAATACATACCTGAAGCTTTTCTTGCAATTTCTTATTTTGTAATGTTAAAGAAGCAACTTTTCCTTGCAACATCAGGAGCAAATCTTGCTGCTCTGTTTCTGAACTCACATCCAATAAACTATTAGCACCTTTAAAAAAGAAAAGGGAAAGAATAAGAAAAAAATAAGCACATTTATGATTTGAATATTCAATGCGGCTACAATTCTATAACTTCTACGTAGCAAACCTTCAAAATGAAAATAGACTATTATCTTTTACTAGCTAGCCAATTTTGGCAAAGCTTCATGAAAAACTGCCTTATAAAACTGTTTGGCAGCCAGAACTTTTGGAAAGTATTTTAATGAACTTATGTGAATCTGAAAATCTACGAACACATCGCTACCCAAAAATTCTAGAAAAGTAAACTGGGGTAAAACAACAGGTTGTTGGTGGATTTGCAGCTAAACCAAGAGAGGGCATGCTAGATTGGAATTTAGATTTAGTGCCAAATTATAACATAAAATTATGACAGTAGCAAATTATGAATGCACTGGGAGGGATCATATTAATGGCATTTAGTCTTAATTTTATTTTGATTTTAATTTAAACTAAATGATACAAATTAAAAATCAAATCAATTTTAGTTTTAGTATTTTGATTCCAGGACCTCTACTATTTCTTCTACAAACTCAAGTGTTTATCCTCCTGTGAGGTTGGTTGGGAGGGCACAATCAGTGACATTTAGGAATTCAAACAGGGGAGAGTCCAAGAACCAAACCAACTTAAAGCAATAAAGCATGGGGGGGGGGGGGATAATGGAATCCCTTCCATAGAATTGTCATGACAAAAGGAGTCAACACAAACAGTACCTTCTTGCAGAGAAGTGGCAAACTTTAATTCTACTATGGCCATAGCACATGATGTACAGTAACAATATTAGGAGTTCGGTTTTTAGAAGAAAACTTTTACAATAGAAAGAGACGGAGAAAACCATCCTCACACCTTTCCTTCATCTTACCTGCAGTGCTCTCACTTAACCCATCTTTGCAATCAGAGTGAATAGCACTGGTGTCTTCCTGTTGAAAGACAAATATAAACCATGATTGGATTAAAAACAGGACTCAAGTCCCACCGAACTACTCATTAATAAGCTCAAACATCTTTCAAGTGGAATGCTTCTCTTGAAATAAACAACCATAACTTTAAAACCATCTTTCAACAATAATTGGTTAAGTGGCAGATGTTTGACTGACTACATGTACACATGTCTGCATATAATAAACTGTTCACTATAATTTAGTTGCTGGTTTTATTTACTTAAAGTTTATGTACCACTTCAGTCTTAGATGTCTCTAAGCAGCTTACATTCCAATACCACAAGGAAAGATTAAATAACTATAAATTGACTCAAAACAAACAATTATTACAACAATAATCACTTTTACATTTTTCATCATGCTAAGTAACAACTCTCAGTTAATAACGAATTGCCTACTACAGGGTGGGGATTCACCATTCTACCACCCCTAAACTTTCCAAAATAGTAAGATCTTAGAAATTTAGCAAGTGTTCAGCAGGATTGGTGCTAACCTGACGTTGAGAGAAGCAACAGTTCCAAATGAGGGAGGGAGCAATGCAAAAAATATATAGTATCTTGGTGGTCTCTGATGCTAAGACTTTGCAGAGATGAGGCTCAAAGAATAACTTCCCTTCTAGATCTTATTGGTTCTTATCCTGGTCCTGAGCTATTTAGAGGTTTAAAGATGACAACCAGCACCCCAATTTACATCTAGAAGCAAAGCAGTGGCCCGTGGAGTTGTTGGAACCACTGTTACATTGATGAATGGGGTAGGTTGGGCCATTCTTATGTTCTTGAGCTGCTGTGTTTGATTTTGACAAGTTACCTTGCGTATTTGCTACAGAAAGTTGGGAGAGAAGTCCCTTCAATAAATAATGGCAAAAATTGGCAAGGTAAAGTATCAAAGAAAATGAAGAAAACGTAAAATTCATTGCTTAACAAGCAACATTATTTAGGTAAAATGTCCCTTTTAACAATTTTTATTTTTGCTCCCAGGGGAAATATGCTAGCCAAAGTAATCTTAAAAGCCAGATGATTAAAACACTAAGATGCTCCTTGCTCTTAGCTAAGTCATGTGTTGTGAAGTCACTTGGATTTGTGCAGTGGGTGTTATCATTAGTGACCCTTTGAAGGAAATTCCATTAGGCCATTTGATGTGTGGCCATCCTCCCACAAGCAATTTCCCATTGCAGCCTTAAGTGACTCATTTAACTTCATGGACAGGTAACATTTCAGAGACGACTAGAAGCTGGAATTCTCTAGTTTTATCTATTTCTGTCCGTGCATCTTGCACAACAGCGAACTTCTCCCTAACTTGAGCTAATTAGATACTCTGTCACATTGCTCAACTCTCTACAGCAGCGTTCCATAATCAGGTGCCCCTCAAATATGCTGAGCACGCAACTCATTCCTAGGGTGCAACCAATACATTTGGAAAGCCCAACAGGAGAGGCTGTCCTACAAACAGGGCAATGTTCGGATTTCATTTCAAGCAAGACTGGGGGGAAAAAACCCTAGTATACCTTGGATCCTCGTAAGGTGAAGAGTTGGCTTTTCTCAGATGCTGGGGTTGAAGTTGTTGCCTGAGATGAAGAACTGTCAGCAAGCTGGAAGAGATGGATGCATTTTAGGGACACAAATTTCCTCTTGCTCACAGAAGTCATCGTTGTCTGTTAGTTGGAGATAAGCAGGACTACACAGCTCTCATTGTTTGTCGGCAGCAGGCATGCAGTCAAACAATCGCCCGAGCAACCACTAGGTTTAATATTAAACTTTTTGTTAAAATGCCATGGGCTCCCATGTGCAAAGCTGCTTATGCATGCCTAAGAACAAACTCCAGCTGATGGTTAAAAGGCAACCCAACAGCCTCGGAGGTCACTCTTATAAGCTCCCGTAGTCTAAACTTAGGTTCCTGTCCCATCACAACAGCTCTCTCTTCACACTGGCAATTAATATGTGATTCCCCCCCCCCCCCCAACAACAGGCTGTCCCTATTTCTATTCTGATGAGAACTCACTCATGATACATGAGACGCACATATTTAAAAAAGAGAGAGAGGGATTTGCACCAAGCAAATTTAACCAGATCAGTTCCCAACAGGACATTCCTCCACCACCCCTCCCTCTCTATACATAGCAACCCGTTCAAGCTGGACTTGGTTGTTTACCTGGATAGGGCTGATGGGAGGAGGTGGAGGGGCTTTGCGTTTTTTTGGAGTTCCACTTCTTTCTGAACTTAATTTAGAGGCTTGATCATGCTGGAAGTTTCACAGGCCAGAAAAGGGAGGTCTGTTAGTTTGTTAGTAAGGTTTGTGTTAACAAGTTATTCAACGACATTAAAAACGCACGCACATTCACGCCTTGCCTTTCTGCTGCGAGGATGTGACACATGCTTAAGTATGAGCTCATCTGGTCCTTTTTTTAATTCAGGCCTCTGTCCATTTTCATGAAGTCAATAAAGGCACACCCCTCCCTACTGAGCCATGTTTTCAGAGGCTATTCACAGCCTCGAGCCATTTGTCAAACCTCCTGATCCCTGCCTTGTCTGTCCCAGGACAGATAGAAAGAGACAGACTATATCTTCTGAGTCCTGTTCCTGAGCCATTTTTTTTGAATCTCTTGGATCATTCCACGTGTGCGTGTGCATGTGTGTGTGTATCTGTGCAAAATTATCTATCTATCTATCTATCTAATCTATCTATCTATCTATCCATCCATCCATCCAT